CAATATTAGCTGCGGTGTGGAACTGTAGAGGGCTGAGTGGGCCCTCTATAGTTTCCCAAATCAAAGTGTCATGTAAGACTCATCACCTAGCTTTTTTCTTTTTATCTGAATACAAAAAGTTTTCTGCTTTTGTGAAATCTGTAGTTAGGAAATTGGGGTTTGAGAACAAATGTGCTATTGTTGATCCAATGGGTTTAAGTGGTGGACTATTGCTATGCTGGTCAATGGAAGTTCAGATTGCTCAGATCTTTTGTCATAATTTTTATATAGAAGTGGAGTACAACTTAGCAAGTACCTGCGCAACTTGGGAAATTTTTGTCTACTTAAGCACTTGTAGTCTCACTAGACAAGCTCAATGGACAGAACTAGAATTGGCTAAGTCAAATTGGGGAGATCAGTGGTACATCCTAGGTGATTGGAATGACATTTTCACCAATGAGGACAAAAGGGGAGGACTGCTCAAATCAGTCACTAGTATGGAAGGGTTTAACAAATTTATTAACTCCATGGAGATGGAAGAAATTAAGATGACAAGCTACAAATTCACCTGGTGCAATAACAGATTTTCAAAAAGACTAGTGGAAGAAAAACTTGATAGAGGATTTGGCTATTCTGAATGGCTGGAAACTCACCCTCAAGCTTTCATCTCCAATGTAGTCAGAAGTGCATCAGACCACTCCATGCTTTTGTTACACTTTGGGGAAAGACAAGAAAGAAAGAAAAGCAGGTTTTCTTTCGATAAAAGATGGCTCTCCAACGAAGGAATAACAAAAGTGGTGAAGCAGGTCTGGGACACCTCTCACAATGCATTCCATTCTTCATTCTGAAAGAGAAAATCAAAGTTACTAGACAAGCACTTCTGATATGGAGTGCCTCCTTCAAAACTCAAAACCAATCACACATTGATAACTTATCCAAAAAGCTGGATTCCATTCAACAGAATAGGAATGAGAACAACTGGGAAGACTGGGTTGAGACCAAGAAAGAACTTGAAGCAGCACATAGACCTGAGGAGCTTTATTGGCAGCAGAAAGCCAAACTTCAATGGCTCAAGGAAAGTGACAACAATTCAAATTTTTTTCATGCCTATACCTTACACAGAAGGAAACAGAATGCAATCACAAGGTTCCTCACCTCTCAGAAAAGATCTTGTGTCACCCTCAAAGAAATTCAGGATCACATTTCTGAATTCTATGCAACTCTTTTCACCTCTGAGGGCTCATGGGGAGTGTACTCTATTCTTCCCCTCATCTCTCCATCAATCACACCAGACATGAACCATCATTTGCTGCAACCTGTCAATGAGGAAGAGATAAAGGCAACACTTTTCAGTCTTCATCCTGATAAATCTCCAGGGGAGGATGGTATGACAGCTCTGTTCTATCAATCGTTTTGGGAGATTATTAAATCTGATTTAGTCACTGCCATATCTAGATTTTTTAATGATCATGGACTTTTGCTCAAATATTAGAACCACACAATTGTCACTTTAATTCCAAAATGTCCGAACCCAGATTATGTCTCACAATTCAAACCAATAAGTCTTTGTTAAGTTGTGTATAAGACGCTTTCTAAAATCTTAGCCCTTAGACTTCAATCTTGCTTGTATGTATGCATTAGTGACTCTCAGTCACCATTCATCAAGGGTAGACAACTTATGGACAATGTCATCATCGCTCAAGAAGCATTTCATTTTCTAAATAGACACAATTATGGTAAAAATTGTTTTATGGCTGAAGCTATATTTGATGAAAGTTTTTGACAGAGTGGAGTGGCTTTGTGTGAAAAAAATAATGCTCCAAATGGGATTCCCTCATACTTTGTGAACCTGATCATGATTTGTATCTCCTTCTGTTCTTACTTTTTTTTTAAATTAATGGAACTGTTAGTGGATATGTGTTGCCTTCTAGATGAATCAGACAAGGGATCCACTATCCCCTTATCTATTAATTATTGTTGTTGAAATGTTATCTGCATTAGTTTCCCAAGCTACTGTAGCAGGTCATCTGACTGGTTTGAAGCTCTCCAAGAATGGGCCTGTTGTTTCTCATTTGCTTTTTGTAGATGAGTCATTGTTCTTCTGTAAAGCTAGCATAGACCAGGCCAGCACTCTCCTCACCATTTTGGAGAAATACAAGCTTTTCACAGGGCATTCTGTCACTATGAGCAAATCTTCAGCTTTTTTCAGTAGAAACACTCCAGAACAGTTGCAAACCAGAATATGTGCCACACTGGATGAAATCACCCCTCACAGATCTACAAGATACTTGGGCTTACCATTATGCATTGGAAGATAAAAACTTGACACTTTCAAGTACATTATTGACTCAGTTTCAACCAAGATCTGCATTTGGAGATCTAAACTACTAAGCCAGACTGGGGAAACTGTATTGATAAAGCTGTCTTGCAGGCCCTTCCAGTGTTCACCATGTCCTGCTTCAAAATCCCCAAAACCGTATGTGCTAAAATTACTAAGCTTTGCTCTCAATTCTAGTGGAGTGCAGGTGATGATAATTCAAGAGCGATTCATTGGAAGTAATGGAGCACCCTCACTCTACCAAAAGAAGATGGAGGTTTGGGATTCATGGACTTGCAGCTCTTCAACACTGCTCTCATCTGTAAACAACTCTGGAGAATCACCACTCAACCAGATTTGCTTGCCAGTAGGATCCTGAAAGACAGATACTACCCTACCAGCTCCATTTTTTAGGCTGTCAAAACTCAAAATTGCTCATGGATGTGGTCAAACTGGCTGGATGTGCTTCCTACTTTTGCTAAGGGGTTAGCAGTTCAAATAAGAGATGGTGAGTCCACCAGACTAAATGATGTGAATTGGGTACCTGAGCTTAAGCATCCTAAACCTGCTCTTATTGAAATTGCAAGAGGACACTTGATTTGGGTTAAGGAGTTTCTTAATGAGTCTGGTCTGGGTTGGAACATTTGGTTAGTCAAACAGGTCTTCAATGAAGAAGATAGCAAAGAAATTCTAAATATCAACACCCTCAAACCTGGAAAATCAGACAAGCAATACTGGAAATTCCACAAAAAAGGTACCTTTACTGTTTCAAGCACTTACTCGTTCCTGTGCCTACATAAACTGCTCTCCTTAGACATCCCCAGTAGCAGCTCCTTTGGAGGTCGAGCACTCACAAAAACAAATAAGAGGCTATGGAAACTGAAGGTAGTGAATAAGGTTAAGCTCTTCATTTGGAAATGTTTAACAGGCTCATTACATGTGAAAACTAAATTGAAGACGAGAGGAATAAATGTTGATGTGATTTTCCACATTTGTGGCGATGCTCCTGAAACCTTAAATCACATCTTATTCCATTTCTCAACAGCTGCTAAACTCTGGCACATATCTCCAGTCACTTGGAATGCAGTACAGTCACAAGATTACTCATTTAGTTGTTGGTGGCAACATATTTGGTCTGTGGGGAAGTCAGAGACATCTGAGGCAAGAATACAACTGACAACGTATATCCTCTGGTGGCTTTGGAAGGCCCGCAATCTCAGCCTCTTTCAAGATGTTCACCTCCCAGTCCATATGATCCTCAGAGCTGCTCAACATGACTGGATGGACTACATTCAGATGATTTAAAGCCATTCTCTCCACTATAGATCTTTTTCTTGTTAGAATTTTGATATTAGTGTGATTGTATCATGTTCGGTTTTTTTCTTATTCTTCCTCTTTTTTCACCTCTAGGCTTATGCAATGGAGTGTGATCTAAGTTGGTATTTTTTCTTGATTGGTTGATGAGGTTCTAGGCCGCTTTATGCGAGTCCTGTCAGATTTTATTTTCGGGTCTGGCCTGTACTATTCGAACATTGTCTGTTCTGAGCTTTTTAATAGTATCTCTATTGTTTCGTTAAAAAAAATGATCAAAACTTGTATATAGGAATAGAATAAGTTGAGATGAAAGTTTCTCTTTTCATAATACAAATACGCCTATAATATACTGATTAATATAGCATATAGAATAGCTCGGTGGACCGAATTATAGAGGCTTAGCTCAAGATGATCTTTAGGGACCTCTCGATAGTTCATGAGTATATTAGTGACCTCGTGATAGCTCAAGGAGGTGTCAACAACCTCTCAATAGTTCAAAGAGGTGTTAGCCACTTCTTTGAGCATCTATACTTGTAAGACTAGGATGGACCTCTGGGAGGGTCTCAACACGACCTAAGAACCTTATGACAAGGACCAACCAACCACAAAGTAGAGGTCAGGGAGCTTAAGCATAAGAACAAGTGTAGGGAGGTACGATTGACCTAAGTTATATAAAGGCCCTTAAAGGAAAATAATGATGACACATTTTATGGATGACGTAGAGTCTTATCTAGGAAGAATCTAGATAACCTTGGAGATAGATTTGTCTCGGGGACCTTGGGAAGAAATGGTACCCAAGCAGTAAGATCGGGAAAATCTTAGACAACAAGATAAACCTCTACTATATAAGGGCCTCAAGTATGTAAGGGTAGGGGATTCTTCTCTCTTTGGTTTTTCAATACACTTACATACTCATCATCTTTCACATTCTGAGAACTGACTTGATCGTTAGAGGTCTACCTCTGGGGACACTCCCGACGTGTTCTGTAAGATATTTCAAAGGTCATATCGGTTCGAGGTCATTCGAAGGTCGGCCCCAGGAGGAATTGGACATCAATTGGCGCCTTCTGTGGGGACTTCAACCAATTCTCTACCATTTTCTGAGGAGCACAAGCTAGAGAAGACGATGACTAATGAAATCTTGAAGAAGAACCTCAACGACAACATGGAGAAGGCATGGATGACCAAATCGCCTTTGAGAGTTGGACCACCATTTGGGTGGTCCAATGAGAGTGGTGACTTGGTCACTCCCGTGACGAGTTTGATAGATGTCACTCACGTCTTGACGTTGGAAGTTGATCTGGTGAACTCAGGCCTAGTAAAGGAGAAGGAAATTTTCGCAAATGGAAGGGAAAAGGGAGCTTCGTCCGAAAAACATGTGTTGGTGGTCATGAGTGGACCAGAGGTTGAGAAGGGAGGCAGGATAAAAGTCGTGCGTTCCCAAGGTTCTCAGAAGGATCAACTTGAGGATCGGAAGGGGAGGGAAGGAGGTGAAGATGTCATACAGCTCACAAAGGCGGAGTTAGATCACATAACTACGGAGGCGATAGGTAGGGTACGAAACCCCCAGCCCAACCCGTTGGTGGAGCAGCTGGTGTTCGGTAGTAAGAGGCCAGAGAAGGGAAAAGAGAGGATAGTCATATCCCCGATGGTAAACAGGCCGCCACGAGACGTGACTTTGGAGTGGATGGAAAACATATCAGGGAAATCCAACCTAGGGTGAAGGGAAAAAGAGAACCTTGGGTTCAGGGCTATCCCTTCTCTGCTGAGTTGTTGGATGTGGATTTATCTCCCAACTTTCAGGAGCCAAGCATGGTGTATGATGGATCTACAGACCCGGCTAGACATCTGCAAAGTTTTGAGAACGTAGCATTGTTATATCGATACAATGATGTGGTGTGTTGCAGAGCATTTCTCACTACTTTAAAGAGTTCACCTGAGGATTGATTCCATCAATTACCAGGATCGATGTAGCACCCCGTTTATTTATGAATAATTTTGGGATTATTTGTTATTATTATTATTATTATTATTATTATTATTATTATTTATTATTTGCTATTATTATTATTAAATGCCTAATTGTCTTAATATGTCTAAATGTTATTATTATTAATTAATTTAAAATGTGTGTATTATATGTATAAATATTATCCGGATTTTGTTGTCGTAATTAACGATTGAGAACCGAGCCGTAAAATCGAGCCCGAAAAACCGAGCCGCGAGTTAAACCCGTGACCCGGTCCGCACGCCCCGCCTAACTGAACCGCTGGCCCAGTTCGGCCCTTTCTATGTGTGTGTGTGTGTGTGTTTATTGAGAGACAAGAAAAATTAAACCCTAGTCTAATATATTGTTTCCCTCATCTATTTCTCTCAGTACAAACACGCCCGTAGCCTCCAATCTCTTCCTCTTTCTCGTCAAATCATGCTCGCAGTCCCTCCATCTCTCTTTCTCTCTCATTAAATCACACGCAGGATCCCTCTCTCTCGCTACTTTAATTCATCACGCCCCGCCGTTCTCAATCTCTTTTCTCTCTTGCCCCGCAGCCACCACCTTCAAGCTCTCTTCCAGCAACTCTGGCGAGCCACCGCGAGACATCACCGTGAGACCTCCTCCGCGTGCAGGCCTCGTCACCGCGAACCAGCAGGACCCCGTCTTCGATCGTCGTTCCCGCTCGCGAGACCCGGCGGGCCTGGAACTCCGACGAATGACTACCGTCGCTCCTCCTCCACGCTGGCCCTTCGTCCACGTCACACAGCAGCCCCAGCGAACGTTCCTCTCGCAGCTCCTCCGTGAGCCGTCGCCGCTGCCCTTCACGAGCCGCCGTTGAGCTTGTTTCTGCCGTGAGCGCCGCCGCTAGCCACCGTGCGTTTACCGTCGTCCTTCGTTCAACCGTCACTACGTATTGTTTCCCGAGACCGGTGCAAAGGCTCGAACCCCGTCTCGTTAAACTATGTTTATCGTATTGATATATGTATTATGTTCTTGTAGCTATAATATTATTTCATGTGATGAATCGAAATAATAATTCATGTGTATCGATCTCTTCGGTTCGTGCGAACTCGAACGAGATCACGTTAAGCGTGTTAAGTTGCTTTGGAATTGGAACATAATGAATCCTTGGCCTTATGGTGAAGGCCACGGACAATTTCGAGTCTTGTCGAGTCGTATATGAATTTATGAACTCATATGATTGCTGATTTGCTATTAAATTCGTGATAAATTGTATACTACTCGGATCAATGTGACATTTTGTGTGTCAAGTCCTCTGTTGATCATGTATGCCGTGTAAAAATTTCAAATTAAAATACCAAATGTAGCTATTGTAATTAATTATTTTGATTTCTGGGCAGGATATTGTAAATTTCATATTAAATTGATTTTTGCTCCACATTGGCTGAAACTTGAGTATGTTGTCTCTCTAGCATATTTACATGTGGTGTAAAATGTTCAGAATTTTTGGACTTCGTTTGGTAGGGAAGATAATTTATTTTAGTATTCTGTTGAAACTTGTTTTAATTATCTTAATTTTATCCGTTGCTGTAAATTACTAACTTTTGGATGAAGTGCTTTCTTAATGATATTAAGTGTGTGGAAAAATGCCCAAGATTTGTGGAGTTCATATTGGTTCAGTTATGTTGAAAATTCGAAATCTGCAGAATCTTGTTACAATTTTCATAATTCGCATGTTTAATATTTAAAGCTGAAATTTTTATATGTTGTTGTTCACATGCAGAGGGTCCTTGAGAAAAACATTTCAAAGGTTAAATCGTTCATTATATCAGTCTTTGAATTTGTGCTTGTTTTTGCTGAAAACTTGTTCGAATTTTATAAAATCATGTGCTTTGTGTTAAGGGCCAAAATTTCAGAACTTAACTCATTCGACAACCTAACCAACCTGATCATGTGATTTATCGACTAGTTTTTCAAAGATATAGTTTTTATGTTAAAAACTGTAAACCGGCTCGCTTTCTATTTCTTATTTGTTTGACATGGTCAACCCTTAGTTGAATTTATGTGAACTCCCATACGTGAATTGGTCGAGTCTAAGTGTTCCAATGTCCATAGGACTTCATGAACAACTTAGTCGAATCAAGTTCGACTAAGTCTGATTTGTGTTATCCGTTTAAAGTCAAGATAGATGTTGATTGTAGCATCTTGACTTAATGTAGGTGTTTGAGGAGTCAAGCCTCGACCTACGTTCATTGCTTGCTAAGTTATTTAAATCCAGAAATCCAGGAGGATTAGTTATTCTAAAATATCTATGCATATGTGTTGTGTTTTTAAATGTGTTAAACCGGTATGAAATATGTATGCATGTGAGCATGTAGCCTATGATGTGAGCTTGATGGCCATCGGTACGGTTGTCCCCGTTGATGTAATACGGTTACTCTTACGAGGTAAATCTCTTTTAGACCTATGAGAAGGTCGTGTCATTGATGTGGCACGCACTCCCATGTCATTGATGTGGCATGGCTGAGCTTTGATGAGCGTAGATGTGCACATGAGTGAGTCTTTGATGAGACTAGAGTCATTGATGTGACTAGAGATGAGACATGATGATATTATTGTTTATGTTCATGTTGCGACCATACCATCCTAACATATTCTGATGTTGCTAATATGCATAGTGTGAGTACAATATTTTCCAACTGTACTCACTCTCATCTGCTCTTCACGGATGCAGGTTAAGCAGTTGGCAGGTGACGAGGCAAGACGAGTGGTGGTCTGGTTTATTTTACTTATGATTATTATTGCTTCCGCTTTTATGAACTTATGTTGACTTGGGATTTTCTTTGCTGCTTGATTTGGGATATTTTTTACTACGTCGTTTTGAACCTTGGATTATGATTTGTTTTCATGGTTTTGGAACTTATTGAATGCAAGTGAAGTTTTATAACTAGTAGTCATGCATGTATCGATTTTATCTGATGTGTTTGTATTTTCGGTTAATAGTACTTGGTAGTTAAGTAGCGCCCAGTGAGTTTTAAAATTTAATTTGAGATTTGCAAAAATTAACTCTGATTTTTATAAATAAATTCGATAAATTCTTTTAAAATAAAGTGGGGCATTACAATCGATCTACAGTTTTTACATATTTAGCTCATTGTTCATCAGTTAATTTTTTTATTGCAAGGAAGTACGAGAAAACTTATCTCACTTGATCAATAGGCAGAGTACCATGATAATAAATCCTTGAGAGAGAGTATGTTGCTAGGTATGTACGGGTTTGTGTGGAGGTCCCATCAGCTTCAGAGGTGATTAAGGTGAGAGGTCTAACAAGAGGTCTTCGGCCAGGTCATTGCCGGAACTTTGGCTAAGAAGCCTTCTAGATCATATGATGAGTTGATGGAATGTTGCTCTAAATACATTAACATGGAGGTGGCAGAGGCGGATTTTTTGCAAAATAGTCGAGTGAAAAGAAAACGTTTAAAAAAAAGACATGAGGAGAGAAGGTTAGGAGAAAGGGATAATAATGGAGAAAAAAGAGTATGCATGGGTTTGAATTATAAGCACTACATACCATTTGTGTTACTAGGTGACAAGTGTACTATATGTTGGATAAAATAGAAGATACGGGGATGTTAGGGAATCCCCAACCCCTATTAAGAGAGAATGACAGATTATAGTTCGAGGTGATCCATACTGTAGGTATCATCATGATTATGGGCATTGGACAAACAATTGTAATAAGCTTAAGGATGAGATCGACTAGCTCATACGCGTGGGTCACTTAGAGGAGTTTATGGTGAAGGACAAGGAGAAAAAAAGATGATAGGGAGGTCATGGATAAGAGAAGAAGACCAGAAGACTCGGAGGACATGCCGATGAAAAGAGGTGTAATAAATATGATCTCAGGAGGATCAAATGATGAAGAGTCCAACAATGATAGAACGACATGCTATAGGATTAGCTCAGACAGCGTAGCTGATGTTAAGGTTGCTAACACCACACCGTCATACGGTTCAAGACAGAGGATGCAAAAGGGGTTATAGTCCCACATAATGACGCGTTGGTGATAATAGTTGAAGTCACAGTCAATAATATGCATAGGATTTTCATTGGTAGTGGAAGTTTAGTGACATCATATTCTATGAATGTTTTCGGCATATGGAGTTGGAGGTTGAGCTGTAGCCTGTTAATACCTCACTGTTTGAGTTCAGCGGAGGTGAAGTGGTGCCACTGTGAGAGGTCAACTTGCCGGTCGTGCTGGGTGTGGCTCCATTAAGAAAGGTCAAGATGGTGAGGTTTTTTGTAGTAAAATCGAACTCTACTTACAACATCATCTGGCATCGGGTGAGTCTGAATGCTTCCAAGCCGCGGTGTCCACGTACTGGTAAAGATGAAGTTCCTAGTTGGAGATGTTATGAGTGATCAGAGAACGGCCAGATCTTGTTATCATGTGGGTACTCAAGGCGGGATCGAAAGGACAAAAAAATTAAAAAATAAACAGTGAAGGAAATGATGTATCTATGGAAAAGGAGACCAAGCTCGAAATGACTTCTCATGATGAGGTGATGGAGACGGGACTTGTGGATGGGGAACCTTAAAAAGTCACAAAGATAGGGATGTAGTTGGCGAAGGTCCTGCGAAAGGACCTTA